ATTAGCCATATGATCTTTTCATGGGATGTTCTTGGTAGGTTGTTTCTGTAAGAGGATTTTGTACCACCTTGGACATTGATTCTTGGGTGGCTGATGTATTAGCCATATGATCTTTTCATGGGATGTGCCTGGTAGGTTGTTTCTATGGGAGGATTTTGTAGCATGCTGGTCACAGGATAATGTGCTCATTTAGTTTGCTTGATCTTCTTGCTATGTGAGCATGTCGTGCTTGGATAAGAGAAATTTGTTATCTCTGGGTATTGTCTTGTTGATGTCGGTTTTCTAGACATGCTTGATTGACCTCATGGGGAGGTATGAGGTACAAAAATACTTTGTTGACGGATAGTTTGATTGATTGGTAGGGTATCTTGGACAAAAATGATTCAAGATCTATGAGATTTCCCATTTACTCATGATTTGGTGGGTTTGGAGAACCACTTTCTTCTTTCTTTCCGAGTGGCACTATCTTGCCCTTGAGAATGTGTTATTCGCCTTTCATTCTTCGGAACAAAGTGTGACTTTTACCAATCTTGACTTAAGATGAATGCAAACAATGTTTGAAAAAAAAAATCATTTAAGAGGATATAATGGGAACTTGACTTTTGAAATCAAAGCCTTGCTGGGGGAATTGTGTGCAATATGAGAAAAATGATTTCTTCTGTGGTTATTGTCACCTTGTTTAAAAATTCGTTCTTTTCGGAAGTCAAGCCATGAGAATATTCACAAGCCCTCACTTTCATTCTCACGCTCAATTTCGCTCACACTCATTCCTATGGGTGCTTCGAGTATACGACACTTTGGCTACTATCAAGATTCTTGTCGCCAAGTTGATGGACAAATATGTCGGAGGTTTAAGTTGATGATCATGGAGATTCCATGTAATCTCTGTATGGTCTCGTCATGTGAGTTCTGGAACTTTTCTGGAAAGTGACTCTTGTACGTCAGAGTCATTTATGTTTTGGGAAGCTGAATTTTCTCAAATGAATGATGGATAAATGAGTCTCACATCCTTCATCGTCTAAGTTTCCTGCTGAGGGATTCTGACTTGCCCCCAAAGTATGAAGCTGGTTCATGGATAAAGGAGGTGTTTGTGTGATGTAGACTTCAACTGCTTATTGGCTATTGGAATGATGAATGTTGAAGACCTTTATGAGGCGGTTATGATTGGCAAATCGTATTATCATGGGGATTCTTCTTTTACTAGAAAGAATTGGATAATAGGGATCACCATGGGGATGTAATTTAAGCGTATGTTGATACTCTCATCTTATGAACCCTTCTCATTAGGGGTTCTTTGCTTTATGTCCTCATGCTTGAAAGACAAGCATTCTTTGATCTGGAAAGCTTGTTAACTTGATGGCTAGATCCGCTTGAGTGTATCCTGGTTGAGATATTTGTCCAATATTGAACCCTTGTGACCATATCGACATTAAACTTGGGATCGCCTTTTTTGCCTCTTCGCAAAGGTAGCCAGTCATTTGGGACGAGTTTGAGTGATTGTAGCTTCAAGCGCTCGTGTATGGGCATCTAATGTGTAAGCCCCACAATTTTTCTTTTTTGTTTCTTTGTTTTGATTTTTCTTGACATTTTGGCTTCTTTTTTCCTTTTAATTTTTGTGGGACTTACTTAATGTTGTTATGCCCCATACATGCTGTCATTTTGACTTGAGCATCAAAATGTTAGAAATTTGTCGACGTGAGTGATTTTCTTGTCGTATGGGCTACGAGCTATCCCTTTCTTGAGGAAGTGATACTCATGATGTCAGTTTGAATGCCTCCTCCCGGGTTAGATTTATGCGTGTAGACATTGGATGCTAATGAGACATTTTTCTCTTTAGCCTCAACAGATGATGTGGATTCTATGCGTGCCTCGATGAGGGTTTCATCAAAACTTGGCTATTATAATGTCGGCATCACGCTTCTTGTAGGCCATAATTCGAAATACACGACCTATATCAGTTATGGATAGTGACAAGATTCTACAAGTAGCCTAGTGTCATATCCTCGTTGCACCATTTGACTATTTAACTCACATAATTTGTGGACACCAGTGGGGTGCTTATACTCTCAACTATAGTAATGTGTGCACACTCTCAACATTAGTGGGTGGTTCAAATTTTGGACACCAGTAGGGTGTTTATAATCACTCGACACCAGTGGAGTGCTTATTGTTGCTTAATATGAACATCTCATGGCTTCAACACATGAAATACATTTTTATGGTTCCCATTTTTAGTGAAAACAAGGTGATCTTAAAGTTTTTGGAAAAGATGCTCATCATTTTGAAAGGAGAAGGACCATTGATGTAAACATCTAAATCAAGATTGGTAGCAATCACACAATGTTCCAAATAGGTGGCAATGCAAATGACCTTTTATTTTTCAATATGGAAGCAAAGGTTGATACATTGGTTTAATATGGTAAAGTATCTCGGGATTTATTTGACTATGAGTCCACATTATCCTCGAATTAAACCCTGCCTCATAGCGTGCCTACTGACTTCCATGATTTGGCAGTGCTTTATTGTTGAGGTATTGTCTGGCTGATGTCGATTTTTCTCCAAACTTTCTGACAAAACTCATGAATATGCCAACGTGCTATTTCACTTTTTCAAGAAGGTTCCACCCTCTTTTGAAGTTATCAAGTTTCTTCTGGAATGACTCCATAACAAGAACAACCTTGAATCTGATCGAGAATTGTGAGGTCTGACTTTCCTTGTGGATGATCAATTTTTTAAAAGATGATCGTGATTTTATAATTGTTAAGATACTCCCAATTGTTAGATGAGATGAATATATGATATTCAAGCTAAATGATATGAATGTGCGTATGCAAGCTAAATTTTTGGTGGATGCATGAATGCTCGCAACATTACCTTCATGATTTATTTTGAATGATGAATTAATGAAAAAATGCTAATGTCATGATTATTGATAAAAATTTTCATAGCATCTAACCACGTCATTCATTAATAACAAATAAAACACAAGTCATTATGTCATAAATAAACATGAATCGTAAACACGTCATCCTATTGGGACAACCTAGAAATTCAAAGGGCTTAGCGATAATGCTTTAAGGTGGCTTGGCAATTTTTCTGGATCGCTCAAAGTGGCTTCTAGGCTGACTATATGCTGGGTAATGAGTTCTAGAATATTGGTTCCCAAGTTGTATCCGTCTATAGCTCCTTCGAGCTAGCCGAATACCCCAAATCAACCTCGGATTTGAGTTCAACTTGGTTAGAAAGTTTCGCATGACTCCTACTATTGTAAGAGTCACGGTACTCCTTTCAGTTTCTTAAGGTAGAACTCGGGTATAGAGCTTTTTATGCATGAAGGCAAAAATTTGAATACGCGATATTATAAATGCGCAAATAATAAAAATAAACACCCAAATATTAAAGAAGGTAAGAAAAACTTATCGATTCAGTATATTTAGCTCGGCTCTCAATATCCCCAGCGGAGTCGCCACTGTCGCAACCGCCCTCGAAAAACCTAGGCGTATCGCCCGAGGTTCGGTTTGGAGTCGCCATCGACCGCGCTTTGGGGTGGGTCGAACACCCTTTCCAGTTTTATTATTTAGGTTAAAACCAGAAATCTGGTCTGCGAAAGTTTTAGATTTTCTAGGTTCGGGAGTTTAGTTACGTGTGGGGAAGTGTATTCACACCCCACAACGCCCCAAATGGGTACTACTTAAATCGATAAGTTTTTAAGGGTTGGGTGTATTATAATTTGCGACTTTAATGTGTGATAAATCACAAGATCCAATTGATTAGGGATTTGTTAATATACAGTTTGATCGTAGCTTATTAACATAATTCTCAAAATTAAAGAAAGAGTTTTAAGTTTGGTTGGACTCGAACCTATCGGTTGCCTACGTACCCGGGTTAACCGGGATCAAAGTCCACGTAGTTCGAATTAAAATGAACGATTCCGAAAGAGAAAACCTAGCACATTCTATTGATCGTGCCAGAGGTTTTCATGAGGAAATGTGCTTTGATTTTGTAATTGGGTGATCGATGAATTTGAAGGAATTCCAACTTATGAAATCATTGGGGTCTATTGACCATGATTTCGTATTAAGAGATTTTATTTTGTGTAAGACTTGTTAAGGGTTTTTCTATAAAAACGTGTGTTATGAATGAGGATGCTCTAAAATTAGGAAAATGATAAAACGTTTGAATGTTTAGAATGTTTTAAATAATTGAAGTTAATAAGTCAAACAAAAAATGTAGTTAATTGTAGTTGATATAAGTTTGCATATTAAGCTAAATTGCGGATGAAATAAGGAGCAGAAAAAATTAGCTTTAACAAGTAATAGACAGTTGTCTTGTTGGTTTACTGTGTAGATTCAATATATCGAAACGAAGAAGAGAAAAGTTTTATTTTGTGTTTCGTTTTGCAGGAGAGACGAGTGGCAGCGGGTAGTTTTAAAGGGAACTGAGGGGTATTTTAGTCAAATATTCAGATTAGCTACGTTAGAACTAACCAGAAAACCCTTACCCATTCTTGTTTAACCCGAGCGGCCCTGAAATTTCATTTACTACTCTTTTCTCTCGTTCCTTGAGGAACCAAACAGAACCAGAGAGACAAATCGAAGTGAATCCGATCCTACCTTCTTCCTCTCGCCATTCTCAATCCGATCTCCCGCGCTTTCCTTTCAACAGACCAGCGAGCATAGACAGGACAGAAAAGGGAAGCTGGTCTCTCCTCTATCTCGATTCACAACCTCTCTCTCCCTCTTTCTGGAAAAAACAAGGAGAAAGAGAACGACGATGGCGTCGGCGTCGGTGGGAACTGACGGCGCTGGGTGCCAGTGACGATGATGACTGTGGCGACAAAGGTAAGGGTTTTTTCTTGGTTTGCATGTCGATTTAGGGGAGTTATGGGGTCTGATTGCGGTTTGATCGAGTGTTTCAGTTCTAATGCATGTTTTTGTTTGTGTTTTGATTCGGATTTTTTTTTGGGCCTGATCGAGGCGGGAATGGGAAGTAGCTCTCGGCAGAGAGGGGCGATGGAGGAGCAAGGGAAACAGAGGCCGGACGGCGACTTACGGTGATTGATCAGCGAGGACGGCCGGTGCCATCTTCGGCGACGACGGGAACGACGGCGTCAACGACGATCAGGGGTAAGTGATGGTTTTGGATTGCAAGTCTGGTTTGGGGTTCTTTTGGCGATTTCGATTTATTTGGTGATTCGATCTTTTCGGGTTTGGGGTTCTGACTATGTTTTATTATCTCTGGGGTTTTGGTTCTGGTTTTGGTCGAAGGAAATGGAAGAAAGGGACTCGCCGGCGCTATTATAGGATCTCGCCGGCGACGAAGATGACGACGGCAGGGTGGTGTCCCTGTGGTAAGTTTTTTAGGTTCTACTGAATCTTGTTTTGCTTTAGATTTCTGGGTTTGGATTTCTGATTTGCTTCTTTTTGGGTTTTGATTCTATGGCCTCGGAAGCTATAGGAAAAGGCGAGTACCGAGACTGCACCGCCGCCGAGGACAGTAACGCCGGTGACAGGATAAGGTGAGGGCTCGTTTTATGCCTTTGATTTTGACTCTACTTGAAGGGGTCTGACTTCTATCCTAAGTTGATGTGGGTAGGAGTTCTCAAGGTTGGAAATGAATGCTATTGTGCATTAGAAAATGATGTTTGGTATGTTCTTTAGCTATTATTTTGGTATGCTGAGTTTTAATGTTTGATTGTTTTAGGTTTATGATTTGGAAACCCAGATTTGTGTTAAAATGACAATAGTTCGTAAACCTGATAGCTACCTGAAGTCACTACTATTGCGTGAGATCCTTAGGAGCTTTGTGTCATTTCTCATGAATGATTTCGATTCTTACAATGTTGGGCTGATGTAGGTATAAACTTTGGGATTGATTAAGTTGTCAAATTAGTGGTTTTTATGATGTATGTAAATCTGCAATCTTTGTGCTCGTGGTGCTTGAACCTGGGAGTCTGTTTTGTGGTGTTCATAGTAATTTTTGGATTTTGAAGTTTATGGCTTGAATAATCATATGGAAATCTTGTGTTTATAACTGGAATTTTGTGCGAATATGGTATCTTTCAAATCTGAGATTTCTATAAGTTTATTGTAGCTTATGTGTTTTGATGTTAGCTTAGTTGTATATGTGGTGGAAAGCTAAGTAAAACTACTAAAACGAAACACATATAGGAAACGTGTAGCTTCTAACATGTGATATGATTGATCAATGGAAATACTGATAAGTGGAAACAATGAAGTAGATGACAAAAGCTAATATATAGGTATAGAAAGAACTATAATGAACTTGTAAAGAAAGCAAGCAAAAATCCGATTTGTTTGTTTATTTTGTTATCATGGTGGTGAGATTAACCATCTTATAATTTGGTTGGAGTTAATTTTAGCTGGATTGCTTTTAGAGATCTAAGTCGACTTGTACAGCTTGGATTAAGCATTATATGGATACTGGATGATGATTTATGATTTTTAGTGACTACCAACCTTTTTGACCTTTTTTGTTGTTTGGGTGATGATTCTCCCTCTCCTTGATTCTCTGAGCTTCTTTGTCCGCTACCTCCTTTGTGCTTTTGCTGATGTTGGCGGCAGGGGAGGATGTTTGTGGTGAGGTTTTTTTTTGTTGTCCTTTTTGGATTTGTTTTTGGCTTCTGTTTGTGTGTGTGGTGTATCGGCTAAGAGTAGAAGGAAGTAGAATGAGATTGTCTTATTGCTATCTCTTTTCCTTGTGTATGTTTTGTGTGTTGCTAAAAGAAAGAAGAAGAAATGAGTGGAAGTGGGATTTTGCAGAGTTTTGTTCTCTCTGTTCTGCTCTGTTTCTGTTGGGGTTAAGAGGGTGTCCCTGTTTCTGCAGAGTTTCGTTAAGAAGAAGTTGTCTCTTTGTGGTGGGCTTGTGGCTGGAAAAAGAAGGTGAAAGAAGTGGAAGAGGGTTTCAGGCTGTGGCTGTGTGTTTTGGAAGGGAAGGAGTTTGGGAATGATCAAGAGATGAAGAAGAAGAGAGGGAGTCTGCAGGGGGTGGTTTTTGCAGAGTTTGGTTTTGAGAGAAGCCCCCCGTTGTAAGTGCCCAAAGGGCTCTTTTTATAGAAAGAGGCTGCTTAGGCAGCAAGCAAGCTATAATACCCAATTTGGTCTGACCGGGTTTGGGTCATTGGTTGGACCATGCTTGGGTTTTGGGTTCGATTGGTCATGGGTTAGGTCAGAACAGGTCAACGGATCAGTTTGACCAGCTTTGACTTTTGTTGACTGTTGACTCTTTGGTTGGGCTTTGGCTTGAGCCCAATTTCTTTTATTTATACAATTTTAAAGGTCATTTATGTAACAACTTTGTAGAAATGTATTTGTACATGTAATTGGAATTTATTTTAATAAGATTGTTATTTTCTTTCTTTATCTTTAATGTAATAATGTTCCAAAGTTGAGTCCAATCCTCACTAGACCCACCGTCTTAAGAAAACGATCAAACTCAAACGATAGCAAAATGAAGTTCATGTCTCGCTCGTCTAATCAAAGCAAAAAAAATCAACTCTCATCATCGAATTGTATCGATCAAGATTTGCTATTGCTTAATCTCGTCAAGTTATGGCGACCACGACCAATCTCGAGCACTATCAATATGTTTTAGCTTGAAAATCATTTAAGACTTGCTATTGCAAATCTTCAATAAAAACTAAATTTTATTTAAGTAAAAAGGTTTTAGCCCGGACAAAAAGTGGTGTCTACACACCAGGCTAGCTCAGCCCGCTCAGGACCCCTTCACTGCGGGTCGGACGAAGGCCAGCACTTCGTAGTTAGAGAATCGCCTGCTCCACCACCTGCTCACGAAGTCTTTCATTCCAGCTGGCGAAAGTGTCAGCACCCTGACCAGGCGATCCCTCTACTTCATCCACTCGATCCGCACTCAACACCATAACCTCCACCTGGGATTTGTGGTGGCGAGGATTATGGACAAGAGTGTGCAGACTTTGGGGACCCTCCACTGTACCCCACTCATCACCCTGTTGGCCGACCATTTCCAGATCCCCTATAAGGATTGCACAGAGCAGGGTGGCACCTGGTTGTTCGGAGTAGACGATCTCAAAGATGCGCTTTCCGGTTCCCCCCATTTCTGACTACCCTGTGGATGATCAGAATGCTGCCCTAGAGGATGTTAACCGGAGGATGTGGACGTTGTTGCCTACCATCCCGCCTGTTACACCCCATCCTTCTCTTAAGACAAAATGGCCCTTTTTCCCTTGGCCAAAAATTTTCAAATTCCACCATAATATCGATAAGGACTAAAAATGTGAACTCTCGGTTCAAGCGGTGTCGAGTTTCGACAGAAAATAAGGAAATTACGGAGGTTAACCGAATATCGGATCAAACTCACCCGATACTCAATTAATCGTGAAGTTTCCAAAACACCCCTTTGACTAGCTAAACCCTAAGCTAAGCTGCCGCATTATATCTCTCGGCTCCCATCTTCCCATAAAGAAAACCAAAAGGTGACCTAAGAGACTGAGGGAGCAGCCGCCAAACCCTTTCTCTAGCTCGTCTCTCTTCCGTTCCTTCTCTATCGTAAACACCACCATGGCCACATCTAGAAACCATGGAGAGAACTCTATTACGTGAAAGAGGACAGCGACACTCGACTAGAAGCCTAACCGGAGAACGAGAGGGTAAATGCCGAGCGAGGTTGACCAGCGTAAGAGTAGATGGAGCCACCGACGCTGACGGTAGATGCGGTAACAGCTGGCGAATAGCTGGAGGGAACAAGAACCGGTGAGTCAGAATGAACGTCGCTGGACATGGATAATTGGTGTTAGTAGGTTGTGTAGATCTTGTTAAGCGGAATTGGCAAAATGAGTCGAGGGCAGCAGCTGAACGGATGGGAGCACTGTCAATCGAGGGGTTGGAGAACGATGGAGTCGTCCATGGGTGTTGTGGGCGATAATTCAGATGACGGAAAGGAAACATCGCTTGCCTCCCGATGTGGCAGGGACAAACAACGGTGTAGTTGGAGGCATCACTTGAGAGCGCCTTGGAGTCGGCAAGATGGCAGTTTCTTATCGGTGTCGGTTGATTGGCGGGCTCGATGGAAGCCTCAAGCGGAGGAGTGATTCGATCATGGTCGTCTTTTGTGAACGGACGGGAAGAGGAGAGGAGCTGTAACCTCATCGGTAGCTTTGTGGAGAGCCCGACGCCAACGGCGACTCGCACACGAGAGAAATGAACCGAGGCGGCAACAGTTCTGTTACCTAGTGATGTCTTTGGTGAAAGCAACGTTGACTCACATACTTGGCACTAGAGGCTCGTTTTCTTGAAGAAGAAATTTATGCCCCGAGACACAGCGATTTGAGCAAGGTGAGCGGTTGGTGGACATATATATCTAATGAATCGGTAACGAAGGACTAACTAAACTTAGTAATGGGATTGAGTGGTTGGCATGGTACGTTCGATTTGTTGAAGACTGTCTTGCAGGTGGAAAGAAGATGTTGAACGTGGCTGAGATTTGTGCATGGGATATGGTGGGGTTTGGTAGTCGTTCAAGGGGTTTTGTATTCATTCAAAGATGATGGGCAAACTAAAATATCAGGGCATTATCAAGCGAGGAAGCACAACCACTTACTGATTCAAGTTGGTCGATATTAGTAGTAAGGTGAGTGTAAAGGGGTAAATTCTACGCATTACGGTATTTCAGTTTTTGATTGGTATGTGTTATACTTGCCTTTGTGTGTTTATGTGATGCATGTGATTGCGTGTGATTTATACTTTCAGTTATATATATTATAATGCTTGTTTTATTTATAAGTAAATTGAAGTTTAAGAACACGCGTTCTTTTAAGAAGTACTTCACCTTAAGAGTTTTAGTCACTAGCGTCAGTCCTTTGCCATTTGAGATTTTGAGATAGAGCAGCAGTTTTGCTCTTGAGACTTTTAAGATGAGCAACAGTTATGCTCTTCAGATATTTTAAGATGAGCAGCAGTTATGCTCTTGAGAATCGTGGAAGAAGAGCCTTCCACGATAAGTTTAAGTTTAAGTTTAAGGAAAGCCTGGATGGCTTCCCATACGTATGAGTTGGCAACCGGACTAGCTAGTGAGGGATCCCCGTTTCAGTCAAGAATTTAAGTGGATATTTGAGCTTTAAGAGTACAGTTTTAAAGTTAAGATTTTAAATAGTGGAAGTACAAAAAAACTTCCACTAAGTTAAGTAAAATGATCGAGTATTAATAAGATGTTAAACGTAAGGGCGTAGATTGACCCCATCTCACTCACCAGTTTGAAGAGCTAGAGGAGGAGCTAGAGGAGCAGTTAGTGAGCAGCCAGTTCGAGGGAAGCCAGCTAGAGGAGGGCAGTATAAGCGTCACAGAGGATGCTTAGTCAATGTTTTCAGTAGCAACATCATTAGAGATTATTAGTTATTTACATTTATGATTATGAGTATAGACTGGAGACCATTTCGAGATTTTAAGTATTGAGTTTGCCCATGTGTTAGGGCGTTGCTTTGAACTACAAGAGTGTGATTTCGGTATTTTATGTATGAAAATTTTTCCAGCTGCAATTTAAGATTTGAATATTTAATTTTTCAAGGGACATTTTAGTAAAAGTAGTGCTCGGCCGAGCCAGGGTGTTACACTGCCCCCAACCAGAGCACCTATGAGCATGGGGGTGGTAGCTATGCGTTTCCATCCCAGGACTACTTCTCTCACCAGTTGCAGCAGCTGAATCTTCAGAATCAGCAGATCCTCGAGCATCAGCTCTAGTTCCAGCAGTAGTACTCGGCTCACTAGACCAAGTATAACACCCGGATTGCTGCATATGATGAGCGCCTCGACTGCATGGAGGCCCAGCAGGGGGTCACCCTTGCTCACATTGAGCGAGAGCGCACCAGGGCTCTCCGCATGCAAGAGGGCCAACAACACTTGCTTCAGCTGATACGGGGTGAGCCGCCAATCTGGAGGACTCCTTGGGAGGATTCCCCACTCCCACCCCCGTCATCCGGTGACGATGCTTTCATAGAGGACATCAACCTCAACGACCTTGACGACGAGTAGTCTGTACTCGTCGCCCCTTTGAATGTGTTGTGTGTTTTGGATTTTTCATGTTTGCTCCATGTGTGTGCGGAGCTTGAACTGAGTCTTTTGTGTGTATTTTTTCTTGTGGATTTTTTGTTTTGTGCCCATCTGCGCTGACACTGATCCCTAACGCACAGTGTGCTAGTGTGTTATTCGTGTTCCCATCGTGCAGAACTGTTACATAGTTCTGTCTGTCCCCGATGACTGGTCCATTTCCAGTCCCCCGACAGTCTTTCATTCCGGTAACATCGTTCCGCTTATCTTTCTCTCTGCTCTATTGAGGGCAATGTCGTGCTTAAGTGTGTGTGTGGGGGGGGGGTGTTTATTTATTTTTTACAGTTATATGAGTTTGCGTGCTTGGAGCCTAGTCACCTTTCCAATTTGATAAATTGAGGGCTCCAAGTACTGTTCCCTGCCAAATCCTGCTCAGTTTGCTTTGAATTGACAGTCTTTATGGTGATATGCAACCTAGGGAGGTAGTTGTAGCACTATGGAGGATGTTGAAGTATAAGATTTTGCCTATCTGTCTCTATGATGTGCTGGTTGATTTTGTGAACTAGTAGATTTAGGACAGTTGATTCATGCGGCATTGACTTATGTTGTGTTGTGGACTCATGTATCGAAAAAAGTGCTCATGTGTGAAATGAAAAAGCAGTTGGTCCTCCATGTCAAAAACTTTGAAATCTTGAGAAATGGAGTAAGCCCAACGTGTGTGGCACTGTTTATTGCACAAAAATTGGGTTTTGGAAGAGATTTTAGTTATCCTTGGTGGGGTAGGCCTACAAGGTGAAGCTAAGTTGTCTCTAGTACAAGTAAAATTTCCACCCGTTGAACGGTTTGCCTACTCGAGGATGTGTTTTTAAGGGCACGGATAGAGCTTCCGACATCCCTTAAATTCATTGACCCTCCACACGAAGTGAGGAATAGGAATTAAAACAAGTACTCTGGCAAGCGACAGATGTAC